TCTGTGCCGTCTGCATAGGACAAGTTGGGACTGTGAAGGGCAAAGGTGAAGCCTGAAGATGCCACTGGCAGAACAGAGGGAGAGGGCACTACGGTGCTGACCCCCACACAAGGACAGGCAGAGAAGTTCTGACTCTAGAAGATGCTCTTGGTTTTTCCTCTGATAACTCTGAGGCTTCCTTTTTAGTGTTAACAGAACAATCAGCATTTCTGGTGAATTGTGGAATAAGACATGTCACTCTCTTGGTATGATATAAAATGCAATAGCAGAAAAGACTAATGACAGGCTACAACACATACACAACTGACTTCACTGTGCCTGAATTCCCATTGCAACGCAAATTAATTATTAGCTGCAGTGTTCATTCTTTGGAAAGAAATATGTCTTTTTTGTGATTAAGCTTTCCAAGGACAGCATATTACATTTCTGAACACACTACAGCATTTAGAGCATAGGCAGCTTGGAACTCAAGCACTGGAACTCCGCTGATTAAATTCCTGTTAATATAAAAATTGAAAATGTGACTTTATGACAAGCAAGCAGTGCAATTAACTCTTCTCCCAGTGGAATAGTTCTTTTTCTCTAGCTGGTTTGCCTGCCTGTCAGCCACTATATTCTGCTTTAGCAATAATTGCTGAATGTTTATTTTCACTATATGACTTTGTAGATGTGATTTTTATTTGGTGAAAGAAGATAACCCATCAGCTCAACTCTATAAGTACTAAGTACTAGTATTGTACTTGTCTTGTTGGATTTAGTAAGTACTAAATGCAACAAAACCTTGACACGGGACATTGTTGAAGACAAGTAATATAAATAAAATATAAATAAAATACAGAGGACAAAAAGGGAAGCAGACATAAAGTTTAGGTAGCATTGTTTTCGCAACACGTTGCTCACCTAAAACTGCTGCAAAAACAAAATATAATACAGGTTGAAATTATTTAACCTTTTACATTAACATGCTGTGATTGTCAATGTGATAACGTTTCTGGTTAGATACTGAAAAGAAAGAGAAACTTTGTCTGCCACTAACATCTACAGATAGGTCCCAGAAGGCAGTAAAAGTTCAAATGAGGAGTGTTTTAAAGGCAGCAGTCCAACAGCAGATCAGCAGGATCAGGAGCCAAATCAGCGTCGACTGAATAAAACGCTGACAGTGATATTTTTTTTCTTTACAATCACTTTAAAAACACTAAGAGAGATCTAATTGATGATTAGCAGACTAAGAAAATTAATTCCCTGTGGGAAAACAGTCTGTGCTTTAATGGCTGCGGACTGACTGATCAATGACCACTACTGTAATTGTACAGGTTTGCTGGTCTGTGAATGAGTACAGTCGGAGTAAAGTGCAATATGTTAATTATGGAAAATGTTCCCAAAAAAATCAATGCAATCGCAATATGCATTTCTAAATATGGTGACCAGTAATAGAGTCATGCATTTATACAAACAGAAACAAATGTATAAATATACGCATTAGTGTGTTTCGCTTGATTAAAGTTCAACCAAACGCTAATAAATCTATTAGCTTTACATGCGCTCATTAGAGGTTTTTCTTTTCCTCGTTTTACAGTACATTTATTATTCAAACTGCCCTGAAACGTAGCAAAAAACCATTAGACATTCAGTCCTTCTTGTCAGGGTAGTACATAAAGTATAAAATAAACCTATGCAAAACATGATATATATGTAATTTAAGTACAGCGTTCAATATTTAAATGCACAACTTGCTCCAAAAATACTCCAAGTTAGTGTGTGCCAAGTCACAGGCAGGAAACTGAGGGGGCCTTTGAACTTGTAAGTGTGTCTGCTTGTCTGTCGGTCTACATACTATATCTGGATATGAGTCTCTGTGGATCCTGCAGGAGAAGAGTTAGTGACTGAGGGGATCCCTGCGGTGACGCTCACTGTAACTGTCTGTTTGATTCAGTACGTAAGGGCTGTGATGTGGAGTTTTCAACCCCCGAGAAGTGATCGTGTTAACTTCTGACCTTGTACTTCAGCGTGGCTCCGATATATCAAAGAGAGACTGATATATCTGTGTTTGTTGACCTGTGATTACACAGTCATGACCTTTTCACAGATGGCTGTGGAGCCATTGATCCTGACTGTGATTCACTTTCAAAGCTCATTACGGTAGTTGAAAATTGCTGTGTTTACACTGGAGGGGATTTCCTTGTGACTCTTACCATTTTTAACCTTTGAACTAGAGTCTGCTGTGCTTTTTGACGTTTTCTTGGGTGACATGATTTCCACCAATTTGCTGTTCATTCTTCATATCAAAATTTTTGACAGAAAGTCTGCCTGTTGTGTCTGCACGGTGCTATTCGGGAGGCTGACTCACCTCGGTAACTTAATGCACAGAGTCAGCTTCTTACCCCTAACTGCCCCACTAGCTCCTGAAGACGTAAATTGGATGAGAAAGCAAAATGCCAGGTTATATGCAACTAAGGTAGCAGGAGGATTAAAAACAGGCAGCTATGTGCCTGGATCAGAGCATCTCTCCTGGTCAGGGTGAAGCTTTTCAATTCCTGGTGCAAAAATTACCTAAGGACTTAACACGGGTGAACAAGGGCCCATCAAAGGACATAGTGAAGCTCCTCTATTACTTGTGGATTTTCAATGATTGTTTTAACCTAAGCCTTAAGCTAAATGCATAAAAGGGTTGTCATGCATGTTTTACAAACCTACAGAACATTTTTTTAAATCTTTTTTTGTATCTATAATTGAAAACTATGGTGGGTTAACTATATTATCAGTATGTTTGGATAAAAGGGTGCAGTATTGCTTTATCAGCTATAATGCTTAACCAGTAACACAATTTTTAACAGATGAATAAAATAGCGAAGTAGAAAAACAGCTGCAGAAACCAAAATTGTTTTATATATCAGTCTGTGCTCTGATATAGATGTACTCACCTCTGCTCTGGAATTTGGGTATTTCACCACCTGAGTCAGTAGGAGTTAACTCTGTTTTAGAGCCAATTGAGGAAGTGCAGTTTTGGGCTTCATTCGCTAAATTTCTTTAACCACATGATTAGAATAGACCAAATAGAGCTTATATAAGATATCGGGAAAAAAGATTTGCAAATACAAGCCAGTAAATTAAATAATAAATAAAGCAAGCTTACAGTTCAAGTGTCTGGGATCTGTAAAATTCAAAATAAATCAGCTCCATGACTGAACAAGTCAAAGTAGTGCTGGACCATAATGCATATTACTCCCAGGAGCTGTAAAGTGACCGCATATCAAAAATTACTGTGTGAATAACACCCCAAATCAGCAGTACCTGTTAGGTGAAGAGGTCACAGGAGAAAAGGTAAAAAAATATAGCAAAAGGTCCAATGTGAAAATACCAGTACCATAAAATAAGAAGTAGAAAAGTACAGAAAGTAGACAGAGAGAAAAGATAGAGTAAGATAGATAGAATAGCCTTATTTAATCAAACTTTCATCTCTGTGGTTGCTTTTTTGTCTGTGGAACTGGATATTATTAGCTAAAGGACAACTGTGCAGAAGAATTATGTAAAGAAATGCTGTGATGTAATGCAGGAACAGTCAGACAGAGCTCCACGATGAAAGGACACTGTTATGACTCTTTGTGCTTATGGCAACCTCTTGCTCCGCTCCGGCCATGTGCTGCTTACTCATATTTGTTGCTCACAGACTCTTAGAGTTGGCGCTCTTTCAAGGACTTCAATGCTTACTCTGACTGCAAAAACACTCTCAGAAGGAGCTGTTGTGCACTCACGTGTTGGTAATACGCACACCGGACCATACTCACACAGAGGATTCCTGACATTTACCTCCTGTGTCTCAGGCATGCCCTTATATGGTCAGAATGATCAATACTTACGACATGTTTTATCACAAGCCTTCTTCCAAACATTCCCGCCCTCTTGACTCCTACTGGAGACACAAAGCAGAGGGCTGGGAGCTCATGCATCTCTGCTATAGCTACATTTTCTCTCTTAATGTAGCTCATTTGAACTAAGCTCTCAACCTGCTTGGTAAGGATATCGTCCCTGGAAGCCCTTTAAAGCCCAAACTAAGCTCGTATTCATGCCTGGATTTTCCTCTCAGTCAAGCTGACAATAAGCCATGCGCTACTGTGGCTTCATAAGGGGGAAAGTTCTGTGGAGGTGCCACACTCATCCCCCAAAGCCACCCTCAGGGACAGCAGTGTTTGGGTTCAGCTCCACTGCCTGAGATAATGTGGGTCTGCTGTCTGAAATCCCGCTCCAGTGGCTTGTGCCTGGCCACCTGCTGGTTCTGCTGGTGAGAATGGACAGCCTGGAGCCCAGACCTAACCTACATAGGCAACATGTCTCTATCCCTGAACTGCACATGCACACATGCAGCAGAGTAGAGTTCAATTCCATTTACCTCCCAACCAGAACAAACCAGTGAAGTTAATACAATCCTGAAAACTGCACCTCATACAGAAGAAGGCTCACTAAGAGGATTTATTTCTTCTAAAAGAGATAGGCTGTTAAATAAAGTGTGTGTGTATTTGGTGATAGCAAATTCCCTATTTGGATTATTTCAGCTCCTTCTCAGTGCTGTTTGATGGTATTTTTTTTTAATACTGAGATCCTCTTTCCACCCTGTTTGGTCTGCTAATTCTCTAAAAAGCCCAAAGTTGACAGCAACCTCACTGTGGCACTGAGCTAAAATCAGTGGGCTTGCATTTGAAATGTATAGAGCAACAGATCAAATTAAGAACTTAGTGACTCCGTGAGATCAGAGGGGAACATTCATTTTAATTAAGGCAATTATTATGTCACACCCTTAACCATCTTGCTGCTAAACTTGCAGGGCTAATGCTATTTCTGCATGAATTAAAGTCTTATTAATATTTGGACAAAAGTGACTAAATGCTTTGATCGTGTTTTGAAATGTTGGTGATACTCGTGTGGAGGCATTTACTGTCAGCTCACTGTACCTTCCTTGTTTCACTCTTGTCTTGACACTTTTTCTCTTTCTTTACTTTCTCCAGAGTCTGTGAACAGGTGAGAGAGGGACACTGTCTGCCCCACTGTCCAGCGACACCATGAGCTGGAGCTTCCTCACGCGGCTGCTGGAGGAGATCCACAACCACTCCACCTTCGTGGGGAAGCTGTGGCTCACCGTGCTCATCGTCTTCCGCATTGTTCTTACTGCCGTTGGGGGAGAGTCCATCTACTACGACGAACAGAGCAAGTTTGTTTGCAACTCAGGCCAGCCAGGCTGTGAGAATGTCTGCTATGATGCCTTCGCCCCTCTGTCTCACGTCCGCTTTTGGGTCTTCCAGATTATCTTGGTGGCAATGCCTTCTCTCATGTACATGGGCTATGCTGTCAACAGAATTGCACGATTAGATGAAGCCAAAGGAGGAGCTGGATCTGTTGCTGTTAGGACAGGAGGAGGGGGCTACACGCACAGAAAACCTAGGAAAATGTGCTTTGGAGCAAGACAGCACCGAGGCATTGAGGAGACCGAGGAAGACCAGGAGGATGATCCAATGATCTATGAGGTGCCGGAGATCGAGCCCCCAAAAAGGCCACGGGACCCACTGCAGCCCACACCCAGACCCAAAATCCGACATGATGGGCGTAAGCGAATCCGAGATGAAGGGCTAATGCGGGTCTATGTTTTGCAGCTGGTGACTCGTACGGTGTTGGAGGCTGGTTTCCTTACAGGCCAGTATTTGCTGTATGGTTTCCGTGTGATGCCCATATTTGTGTGCTCAGGGAAACCTTGTCCACACAGTGTTGATTGCTTTGTGTCGAGGCCTACAGAGAAGACCATTTTCCTGCGCATCATGTATGGTGTCACTGTCCTTTGCCTCACACTCAATGTTTGGGAAATGCTCCATTTGGGCATTGGTTCCATTTGTGACATTCTTCGCCGTCGCCGCTGCCCACCTCAGGAGGATGAGTACCAGCTGGGCCTGTTGGGTACCAGTGGGGGTGTGGAGGGCTCAGTAGGGGCAGCAGGTCCTGAGGCAGGTTCTGAGGGAGGCGTAGGAGGAGATGGTGCTGCCGATTATGTTGGCTACCCCTTCTCGTGGAACACCCCGTCAGCTCCACCTGGTTACAACATTGTTGTGAAGCCAGAACAGATGCCCTACACAGATCTTAGCAACGCTAAGATGGCATGCAAACAGAACAGGGCTAACATTGCCCAGGAGGAGCAGCAGCAGTTTGGCAGCAATGAGGACAATTTCCCCACTGGAGGAGAGGCCCGTGTAGCCCTGAACAAAGACATGATCCAGCAGGCTCATGAGCAACTGGAGGCAGCTATCCAGGCCTACAGTCAGCAGCACCGGGCAGAGGAGCAGCTTGGGGACAACCAGGATGACAAGCCCCAAAGTAACATTATCCAGGCCCAACCTCAGCCACAACCCCAGCCTCAGAAAGAGCGCAAGCATAGATTTAAGCATGGGAAAGGCGGGAGCAGTGGAGGTGGAAGCAGCAGCAACAGTAGCAGCAGCAAATCAGGAGAGGGCAAACCCTCTGTATGGATTTAACCCCAGAAACAGTGACCCGTATTGAAAACATGTAAATATTGGAGACTGGATGATGAGCTGTTGCAATGTTACTTGGATATTTAAACACCATTATGCCTTACAGAATCCTGCAAGCTGGAGAAGATGCGTGTTTGCGTATAATGGTGTGTAAAGAAAAAAGAGAGAGAAAAAAACATGTGATATTGCAGCTGACAAATTGTTTTGTCTGGGTAATCACTGTTTAACTTGAAACATCACACCAACACAAACTATGTTAGGCTACAGTCTGTCGTTTACATGTGTCGTTCTTCTCAAGCCCCAAAGCAGATTATTGACCTCTGTTTTCTTCCCGTTCACCCTTTCAGGAGAATCCCAGGATCATAATGTGTTCTCTTGCAAAATTAGACTGATTCCAAATTTCGATGATCACAATGTAAATGCAATACAATGATGCATGATTCCATGGTGCCGCCCAAAGGATTGGCTTTATAGTGCAGTGAGAAGATCACCTTCCTGAAGGTTGTGTCCTGTCACTCATGTTCCATGTCTGCTTCATTAATAGTGTTATATTGCTGTGACTTTGCATTTGACCGTGTGTTTGTAAATGTTTGTTGTGTATTTTTTGATAACAGTAGTACACCAGCTGCTACAGAAACCTATGAGTACAGCTGGTGGATTTTTATCCAGTCTACATCTGAAATTATCTGTGAAAAAATAAATAATAAGGTGCAGAAGCAATCCAGATTTTATAGTTTATTCTCAAATATCTCATTTTCTCCTTATGGCTTTTCATGGCTCAGTACCATCGTTCCTCTATCTGCCTTGTGTTTGGCTGCCCCCTGGTGGTGTCTTCAATGGGGCTTGATACTGAGGAGAAGATACCAGTTGCCAATGCTACCTGCATCCAGCAACACCTTAACCAGCTGTAATGTTCCTTTTCTATTGACAATACTTGTGTCACCTATGTCTTCCCAGTGCTACAAGTCCAGTGTTAGATGCACAAGGCTGCAATATTACAACATTGTAATGGAAAAGGTTTAAAGCCATTACTATAACACAGTGAGACCAAACACTGTCTGTGTGATGCAAGTTGTCAGTGCCAAGATTTTATGCTAGGCTGCCACGAAGCCTGGTTGTTTGTAGCTTTGGAATACTGTGGCCATGCTACTCCACTTGTGGAAATATGCCTATGTGAGACCAACCCTTTTGTAAAAGTCATTTTTCTTTTTTTTTTCCTTCTTTTTTTGTACAACAGTATGTCTTGCATTTTTTCATATGGGATTTAAAATGATAAAACTTCAAAATGGAGTCAAATTTTATGTTCCAGACAGTGTTTTATATGAAAACACTCTGTTTTTCAATTAAAGTTTTGTTTTGTTTTGTAAAATAAATAAACAAAAAACAAGATCTTTTGAAAATGAATTAGCTGTATGAATATTTATGTTTATTGTGATTTAAATTGCCTTCTAATTGTAAAAAAAATGTTAAATAGGACATAGTATATTTTTATAATATGTTAACTACAGTGACCTAAAGAAGTAAAGAAAAAACAGTCTTTTCCTTGTATGTTGCCGTATCAGTATTTAATGTATGTAAAAAAAACCTCTGGGCTGTATTTTAATAAACAGTGTCACTCCTTTTTCAACACTGGTCTGAGATCTGCTGAACACCGTTGTGGGTCATTGAATCCAAATGCCAAGTAATTCAAATAATTCGAGCTCCACAGTAGCTTCCCAAACAAGCTGTATGAAGGCAGGAGGAAAAACAATTAAAAAAGAAAGTAAATAAAGCTGATTTAATACATTTCATGTTAAAAGTCTACAATTCTCTCAGTAAACATTAAATGAGTTAAACAAAGCATCACTCGTGAAGCAGTGGCTGAACACATAGCTTTCTAAATATGGAATACAGTGCAGCAGAGTGCTTGAAAAACCTTTTTGGATTGTTCACCACTGGGCTCCACATGTCTATTCATCAAGCCCAGCCATCATTAGACAGACATAAGTCACCCGAAGCAATCCAACCAGCCTTACCCAAAGCAGTGATTGGCTTGTCTGAAGCGACCCTAATCCCAAAGAGCCATAGGTGATTTACTGAGAATTTGCCGGTCCCTGTCAGTCTTTTCCCTACAAGGCATATCAACCCTCATTACATTCTTCTCCAGTAAGCAAAGTTTCTCCACTGCTGCTGTTTTTTTGAGAGAAGGCAATGAGATCCAGCAGGGACCACAAGAGGGCGACATCCTGTTAAATAAATGACATCTTCAGGAGTGAATGAGAGCGAGTAAAGGCCATTCTGTTAGAGTGCCACGAGGGTACTCAGCGACCCCATCTGCTTAGATCTTGATGACTGCCAGCTTGTGTTTATATATTCAAAACATCTCCAAGTTGTATTGTTGAGAAACTGAGAAATTTGGCCAGCTATCCAGGTCAAAAGAACTACCCTGTGGCACATTTGTGTGTTTGGCATGACCTGTTTTCTATTCTGTGCTGAGTGACTGGAGAAAAAAATAGAATACTAAAACAGAAAGTGTTCACAAATGGAGGTTATGCCCCTCTGTATTCTGTTCTTGTTATCTACAGTAACATCCACTATTAACCAAACATCTCCAAAATCTTATAACAAGGGCTTTTTTTCTTAGAAAAATACAAGAAAAAAAAAGTTAAGGTAAACTAAGATGCCCTATCTGATACACAATAGTGTGAATATGTGTTTTAGCTTTGTGGCAGTGGATTTACAAGACAATAGAAAAAATTCTCAATACAAAAGTGTTTAATCCTCCAGCTCTCGCTGCATGTCTGTGTAGATTTCTTACATAAAAGATTATGTTTGTACAAGTACTTCAGAAGCTACTTATCACAATTTTTGCACAACTATTTATAAGCATAGTGAGGTCAATAATTGTATCTGACTTTTTAACCCCTGAGCTACCAAGCCACTTAAATAACTACATTATATTCCTCATACTGTTTCTATATCTGTGATAGATATTCTATTATATGTTAAATTAAATAATTATGGTCTTCCATTATTTTTTATATCACTGAAGATTGATAAAAATCAAT